GGCTCGGCCAGAGCCCGCCCCGGCCTCGCGCCCTATGTAACGCCGGTTGAGCGGCAGCAGGAGGTCGCGAGCCTGCTCGGTCGGCGGGCGTCCTCCAGTCCTTCCCTCGCTGGGTCACTCGGCAGGGGCCCGCGCGCACGCGCACACGCCCTTCGCGCGCCGCCCCCGCGCGCCGCCGCGTCCTCTGACCCCCGGCCACGAGCCTCTGACAGCTGAGGGCGGCATGCGGGACTACGACGAGGTGACCGCCTTCCTGGGCGAGTGGGGGCCCTTCCAGCGCCTCATCTTCTTCCTGCTCAGCGCCAGCATCATCCCCAACGGCTTCAACGGCCTGTCGGCCGTGTTCCTGACGGCGGCCCCGGAGCACCGCTGCCGGGTGCCGGACACTGCGAACCTGAGCAGCGCGTGGCGCAACCACAGTATCCCGCTGCGGCTGCAGGACGGCCTCGAGGTGCCGCACAGCTGCCGCCGCTACCGGCTCGAGACGATCGCCAACTTCTCGGCGCTCGGGCTGGAGCCGGGGCGCGACGTGGACCTGGAGCAGCTGGAGCAGGAGAGCTGCCTGGATGGCTGGGAGTTCAGCCAGGACATCTACCTGTCCACCATCGTGACCGAGGTGGGTACCAGCCCCGCGCCGGGGCCGAGGACCGGGTCATGGAGAGGACCTTTGCAGTCTTGGAGCTCGGGCGCTAACTCCATCCTGCCCCAAGGTGCGCGCTGGATGTTGTCACTCCCTCTCCCCCATCACACTACACACTGGTGATGGGCATCCTCCAGCCAGGTGGCTCGGGAACAGTTTGCGACGTGACTTCCAGCCTGATCATGCCCCTCACAGCAGGGGTGTCAGGCTGGCCACCTATCCTGTGGCCACCTTGGAGAGGGAGCCAAGAAGGCCCTAGTGGCCTCTGGTAGATGCTCTAAGGGCCTGAGTGGTCAAAGACTTCCACTAGATGAGGGTGGGAGTGTTGAGGAGCAGAGCAAGAGCTTGGGGCAAGGAGCTGTCATCCTTTTTTCCTGTAGCCTCTTGTCTGTTCAGAGAGAGAGGAAACACTCCTCTTCTTTCCTGAATTTTTAAAGTTAAAGGAATCATGTGTGTAAAACCGTCTCTTGCTCCTTCCTCCAGTTACTCCTTCCCCACCCACCCATGACAGTCTGGTCATGCCCTACAGGGAATCATTTACCTTTGCTCATGGTCAGTTGTCAGCCTTTTAGGATCGGTGCAGCTGAAGATCTGTTCAGGGTGACTTGTTGACCTGGAATGTTTTAGAGTAATCTGAGGCAATGTCGTTGGCCAGATTTAGTTAAAGCATACAACTTTAGTTCATGGGGAGTAGAGGGAAACCTTTCTCATTCCCCAGGCGCTTGGATTTTCCTTTTGGGTAGCTTTGTCTGTCCCCTGGTGACTCCGCAGTCTGGTTGTGTGACTTGATGTTAACGGATCCCTGCGGATGTGCTTTGCATCTTACTCAGACGCTAGCACTCTTAATACCCTGGAGTCGTAGCAGAACTGAGCAAGCAGTGCGGTGAAAAGAGCCCTCCTTGATAGGCACTAGTGCACCCAGGTTTACCGAGTGTCAGGATCAGGGATTCGAAGATTAGGGAAGGCTTCCTGGAGGAGAAGGCCTCTCAGTGAGTCTGGGGTGTTCAGCTCAGCAGAATAGTGAGCTGAAGGCCCAGATACAAAGTTGGAAGAGCAAGAATCAACGTGGCAGGAGGCCAGAGTTCACAGGGAGGGGGCTGAAAGGGAGGGTGCACAGGTCCAGGTGTGGCATCAAACCCAGCTGAAGCCTAAAAGGGACTTCCAGGGGGTCTTGAGGCCCCTGTGAAGGTTGTCACCCTTCAGGGGAGTCTGAGAGCTGCCCCGAGAGACTCACGTGTGTGTGTGTCCTTGTATGTTTGTACATTTGATGTCCCCAACATCTGTGCCTGTGCTCCGCATTTATGTACGAGTGTGACCTGAGCCCCACCAGCGTCTCTCAGCTAGTGACATCATTCCAGTGTCCTGAGGCGTTGTTACTTGACAAAAGAGGCCCTCAATGGAGGTAGCTGACTGTGCTTTGTCGCCCAAGAGTCCATGGAGAACCAAAACTTTTAGTCATCACAAATCCTCGGTCCTAGCCTCACAAGCAAGTCTGCCACCCTCCTGGAAGCCAGCGAGAGCTGTGAAAACAGAGGCTGCCCTCAGGTTGCAGTCAAAGGCCACAGAGGGGAAGTCATACTCCATGACACAGGAGTCCCTGCAAATTCTGCTTCTGGCTGCCCACAGAAGGGGGAAGCAGTGAAGGCAGAAGAAGCTCATGGCATCTCTTTGGATTTTACCTTGACCCCTAGGGTCCCTCGGCTTACTGTACTCTTTCGCTCGTGCTTCACTGCCCCCATCCTGCCTTCGGCTGAGAGTGGTGGCAGCACTGATGAGCTGCCAAAGGCCGGCAGTGCCAGAAGGGTCCTTGAGCTTCGTTGCTGCCAGTGTCAGCCTTTACTTTTTTATAGTTAGCCTATTTATTGAGCTGGTTCAGCAGTTTTGTAAGAGCTGTGTGCCCTTTCACCTACTTACAGGTTGTCAGTCTTTGCCAGGAGGCAAGATTAATAGGTACTTAGCCCTTTGTTTTGGGATGTTGGAATGCTTGACTTTAAACATTCAAGGCTGCTTATTCCTCTCAGACGAACAGTCTCTGTTGGAAGCTGTTGCATTAACATTCTGATGGCCCCATTATTCTAAGGCCCGTTTTCTTTCAACCTAGACTTGGCCTGCTGACTACTGCAGCTAGTCCTATGCCTGCTAAATGTCTCCAAGCCTGCCTTGTGTCCCAAATCTTACATAGAGGTGTTTGTAAGTACACTGGTATTGAATTCTTATTCATGTTTTTCAACAGAAGATGAAAACCTCAGGTCTCCTGTTTGATTTTTTCTTCGATGAAGTTAGAGTATGTACATGCAGTACTAAACTTTGTGGTGGATTTACATCTTTGCATCTCCCTCAAGTCCTGACATGATGCTGGATATAGAGAGGGTGCTCAGGAAAACTTTTGTTGAATGGATTAACGGATAATGTAAGAAATCTTCCCTAAAGTTTGAGAACTAAAGAAGAAAAGGACAGTTTAATTCATAGAAGGGAAACTTGGAAGTGGTCAAAAAGCATTGACTGAAATATTTTAAAGGAAATGTAATCCCCCACCCCATGGACTGGGGCTTCCCCTTGTAGATCTGCAACAAGGCATTGGGGTTGGCAGAAAGAAGGGGACACTACAAGGTGAAAGAGGTTGTTTTCCCATGTTTCAGCAACAGTTGGTGGTCCATGTGCTTCTAGGCGGCCCCTTCTTTGGAAACCTGGGTGATTTCTCAGGCTTCTGGGGCCACCTGCTTTTTAGTGTCTCCATAGCCCAGCCTGCAGCCAGAAAGTTTCCTTTAGAAATTCCTGGCTCTTCTGACACCCATGAGTTGGGGTCTCTTCAGCTAAGACCTGGCAGTCCTCTGCGTCCCTTTGTTCCCTGCCTGTTTCTGCTTCCCAGAAGCTTCTTGCCTCAGCCCTTGGCAGTTCTAACTCACTCCCTATTGTTCTGGAAAGCTTCTCTCTCTGGACTAGCTTTTCTATCAGCCTTATCTCACACATAGATAGTCTTGGAAGATAGGAGAGCCCCCACTGTTATCCATGAGGCCGCCTGAAGGACAAGCCACATCAACCTGGGAGATGGGGCCCAGGCTGACTCTGGAGTGGAGAGACCAGACGGACCTGGAGCTTGTGCCTCACTGCTATGCCTTTATTGACTTCTCGCACTAAAGGGAAGCTCAGACCCTCATCCCTGCCTTTGCAGCTCACGGCAAGCCAGAGAAGCCACTTGCTGGGTCTCTGAGGGCCCCTGTGCATGCGTAGTCATAGCAGACCCATCTGGCTATGAGTGGTCAGGTTAAGCCTCTCTCTAGCTAGCTGAGAACCAACACCTTGGGTCAAAGTTCTGACAGTTGACACAGGGAAGGGGGTGAGAAAGCGAAGAAAATTGTCTGTTCTAGAGATTGAAGTTCAGGGTTCATCTGGGCTTTGGGCAGCCAGGCCTGGGGACCAAGCCCCTAGGATACTGTGGTGTTCAAGGTGAACAGCCCTTTCATTCATCTACTCACTCACTCACCTGTGTACCCAACAGCTGCTGAGCCTCTCTTCTGCAAGGCACTGCCATGCATCTTAGAGGATATGGCAGCAAATACTTCTTCTCCTCCTTGCCCTGACAGCCTTGGGGCAAAGATCTGCCAGTAATTGCAGCAGGAGACAGGATGAACCGTGTGTAGGAATACATGGCATTCAGTAACAGGTTGTGCTTACCTGTCTGTTTGACCGTTGATGTGCTCAGGCTAGGTACATCTCGGGGAAGAGCTCCTGCCCTAAGGGCACAGACCCTATCTCTTTTCCTTTCCAGCCAACTGGCAGGTAAGAACATTTAGTGCCACATCATCTTTCTACTTCCTGTGATTGAGAAGCAGCACCAATTACGTACTACATACAAAAGACACAATTCTCTCTCTTTAAAAATTTTTAACAGCTTTATTGGGTATAAATGACACAAAATAAACTGCACGTAACTAAAGTGTGCAATTTGAAAAGCTTTGATGGATACGTGTGTGTGTGTATATATATATCTCCATGAAACCATCACCACTAGAGAGGCACCCTTCTGACCAGGAAGGATGGCAAGTCTAGGCCCCTTGCCAGAGTTGCTCCCAGAGTTTTTCAGGTTGTACCTGCTTTCATAGCTCACCTAGCTGAGGGATAATGATGCTAGACTCATGACCTGAATCTTAAACCCACATATTTAGTTCTAACATTGATACCTGTTATCGTCAGCCAGTATAGCCCATCCCACGTACCAAGTGGAGGCATCAGTGAGCTGGTCTGTAGCTGCTTTAGTCATGGCTGGGGAGCCAGGAGCTCAGTATAGGAACACTAGATTGCTTTGTAAACACAACAAGCCTGGGGTACATAGCCTGGACTCTGTGGGCTTCTCATCCCTCTCTTCCTAAGGAGGATTCAGGCCAAGTCCTGGAGCCCACTGCCATCCATCTGGTGGTTGACAGGAAAGTGGATGGGTTGGGTGAGTGAGATCTAGTCCATGGCTGCCCTTGTCTTCATTTTTTGAGACCTATTACCTTTCCTGACCATACTCACAGGGCCCTGTGGCCAGTAGGAAGGAAGTGTTAACCCATATTTGCTTTTGGAGGACCCAGAGCCAGGCCCTGAGAATTGTTAAGAACTGTCAGTGGTGGATAGAGAGCCTAATTACGCAGGGGAGATATACACTTGCCCAGAATAAGGACAGGCTGGACCAAGTGGAGGAGTGAGGCAGTGGGAGCCAGAGAGATGCTCTGGGGACCCAAGATGAGTATTACAGTTGCAGAGCATACTCTGACCTGGTTTCAAGTAGCACCCAGCCTTGCCAGCCTAGAATTCTCTAGAGGCTTATATTAGGAGAACTAATAGGGGGCAGGGGAGCTACATTCCCAGAACTCACTGTAGACCCCCCATGGATTTCTGGTCTAGCCCAGCTATGTCAGTGCCCAACCCTCATGAGAGACCTGTTGAGATATAGCTGCTAACTCTTTATTCATTTTTTCATCTCTGTTGTTACGAAAGTAATGCATGCTAGCTGGGAATAGATCCCATCGTATTCAAGAGCAGCAATAGCCATAGTCTGGCCCCTGAAGCTCTGCCTAACACCCTACCCTAACGCCCAGAAGCCAGAATGCCATCACTGAGTCCCTCAGCTCTGACTCCCCTGCTGCTCCCATGCTGACTTTAGGAGCCATGAGGGCTACCCTAGGAGCACTCACCCTCCTAAAAGAGAGATGGTATCTGGGAGCTGGCACCACTGAAGCTGTGAAGGTAGGAAGGCTGCTGTAGCCTAAGCTCAGTTTCTCCCATATTCTTGCCTCCTGCTAATCTGGACTTCTTCTAGACTTAGGAGTTAGAGACCCCCAACTCTTCCTTGGAGTGGGGATCACCACCCTGTTCTCAGCCCATCCAAGGTGCGGGCTTATTCCAGAGTGGAGAACCACCTGTGCGGCTGAGTGATCCTTATCAGCTGCGGGGGCAGGAGGACAGGGGTGTTCTTCATGTCCACCCTGAGGGCTGCCCTCTGACCCCTCTGAGGTGCCTGGAGGCTGTGTGCACACACTGCCCAGAAGGGCAGAGAGGCAGACTTGTTTTTCCCTGTGTCACTGGCCTGGAAGAGATGCTTTGTTCATGCCCCCCCTGCCTCTGTTTGTTACTGGGGAGCCAGCAGGGCAGGCCAGCAGCCTCATGCCATGGAGGGCAGCCCAGCAGCCTGGTGCCATGGAGGGCAGACCAGCAGCCTGGTACCAGGCAAGCAAGGGTCTAAATTCCCTGGAGGGTGGCCTTCTTGGTTACTACTGAGCACCATCTCTCTGTTCTGGGAAACGTTTTTCTGGGAACCATCAAACTTCCTGTTTTGGCTTTTCTTCCTTCTTTTGGCTCCTTGTTAGGCTGGGGCAACCTCATGTCTGAGTGTTCAGCTGCTTCCCCATGCCCGCAGACCTCTTTTCACGGTAACTGTAGATGGAACTACACACTGGGTGTTGGGAAACTCAAGCAGTGCAGCCTGTTCCCTACCCAAACCACTGTTTTACAAATGGGGAAATTAAGGCATAATGACAGGGAAAAATCTTGTCTGAGGTTGGATAACCAGTTAACAGTAGAGTTAGAAGCTAAAATACAGTTTCTTGACTCCCAGATCAGAGCTCTTATCTATAATTGGGCCTAGTATTGTTGGCACAGCATCAGGGATCCCAGCTGTAAATGTCACCAGAGGGGCCCAAGGGTCATTGCCCCAGGGTGGGGGCTTGAGCAGAGCTGAAGGAACAGATCCAGATGGTGCATCCCAGGCCCTCTAGCCACAGTCCCTTGCTGGATGCCTTAACCCTTAGAGCCCCAGAGCTCTGCTTCAGAACCACTCCTCTGCCATTCCTGCCAGTGGCCTGAACCCCACTGAAAGGGCGCCCTGCCCGTCCACAGCCCTGGGCTCTGCCCAAATTCTCAGAAGCGTCCACGAGAGGCCTCGCCTTCTGGGTTGGCACATGGGCAGAGTACTTGCTACCTGCCTGTCTCCCCTTCTCAAATTGGTAGCAAAACAATAGAGCTGAGATCTATGAAAAACAGGATGGGGAAGGAGCCCACTCTCCTTGTGAGGGGAACCTGCTCTCTGCCTTGCTGCCCAGATGAGCTGGTGTCTACCTAAATGAGCTCACACACCCATGCAGTAAGGTAACAGCTTGCAGGGTTGCAGGATGTTCTGATTTCATTTTCCAAGAAGCCTAAATATAAAACATTTAAAAAAAGAAGTGAGTGATACATCCCTTTGTTTCTCTTACAGTGGAACCTGGTGTGTGAGGATGACTGGAAGGCCCCACTCACGATCTCCTTGTTTTTCGTGGGTGTGCTGGTGGGCTCCTTCATTTCAGGACAGCTTTCAGACAGGTAAGGTGGGTGTTTATCTCCTGCAGCTTCAGGGCACCCCAGCACTGAGCTAGGAGCATGTACGTTCCTGGTCTTTGACTTCAGATGGCAGTGTTCTCTCAGCCCAGGGTCTTGTGTTTTAAAAGAAGGGGAAGCCACATCTATAATATAGACTCCATACCAAGTAAAGAGAGCCAACAACCTCCTCTCCCTAATTCTTGCTGAGCACAACACCCTGAGCTGAGTATATCCATGATCCAGTTGACCAGGAAATAGCCAGGATTCACTCCTGCATCAGCCTGGCTGGCTTTCCCGGGTGAGTGTGACTCTTTCATGTCCCTGAGTGTGGAAGAGGTAGACACCACACACGTACGTAAACTGTATACGTACATAGCACACTACATCTTTAGGCGGTACCATGGATGGCTGCCACTCTATTACCAAAACCATCGCCCTCTTGGCAAGGTGAGGAGATCTCACTAGCCAGTAGTGGCATGATGGACAGAACTCCTGTATCCACAGGGCTGATAACCCTTAGCTAAGAAGTCTATGGTTATGGTGCTTACTTCACAACAAGCAGGAAGTTTGTTGTTTTGACCCATAAGCAGGTTATTTGTGTAATTCCAAGGCTTTTGACTCAAGTCATCTCGAGTTCGTCTACTCTTGATGGAAATTATATGCAAAGTTTTACAGATTGTATGTGAGCATTTTTCTAGAGAAAGGTCCATAGTTCCGTGATGTTCTCAGAGCAGTCCATTATATTGTATCTCTTTGAGCTTCAGGGTCTATGGAGAAGCACATGGGGAGAAGAGTGGCCTTGGCCACACTGGGTCACCCAGTGGAGAGAAGGCCCACCATCCTCCCAGCTGGTTGGGATCTCTAAGAGAGAATTTCAGGATGAGAATGTCATCCTACGTTAAGAACAAAGCCATTTCATCCTGTGGCACAAACTCAGGGTGATATTTTGGCATGTTTACATCTATGGATTATTGTCTTTACCTAACAAGTCTTTCCTCATGAGAAATACATGCATTTCTCACTAGATTTCTCTTTTCCTGAGCGTCATCTAGTGATTTAAAAAAAGGATAAATTCCTACACAGTCACCAGTGAGCATTAGAGAGTTAAGTAGGCCATGACCACTGATTGACGATGCTACATGAGCCTAAGACACTTGCCCCTTGGGGAAAAGGCCTTTGCTTCCCCAGATCCTTAATCTAGCTGAAGGCATCAGTTGATTACTTGTATTTATTTAACAAACACATAGAACCTAATATGTGCCAGACACTCTTATAAGCACTGTACAAATTTTTAAAAATAATAATAATAATAACAATTTAATCTTCATAACCCTGTGAAGTAGTAAGTATTATTCTCATTTTACAGATGGGGAAAATGAAACCTGGAGGAGTTAAATGACTTGCCCAGAGTCACACAGCTGGCAAGTGGCAGAGCTAGGAATTGGGCCCAGAGAGTCTTGACCCTCTGTTTTGTGTGGACTATTGTTCTAGGGCCCCGCTCTTCTAGAACTTCCCTTCTAACAAGGCAGATGTATTAAACAACTAATTGAGGGAAGTACTTGTTATCTTTTATGGTGATATGTGATACAGAGGAGAAGTACAGGATGCTGAGAGAGAGTTTGACAGAGGGGGCCAGGCAAGGCTGCCCTGAGAAGTTGAAAGATGAGTAAAAATTAGCCAGCTAATGGAGTGGAGAGAGGAAAGAGCATTCTGGGCAGAGAGAGCAGCATGTACTTAAGCCTAGACTCAAGAAGAGGCATAGCACACTTCAGGAACTGGAAAAAAGGCCTCTGTGGTGGAGGTGCGGAGAGTGGTATAGAGATGAAGTGGTGAGGCAGGCAGAGGCCCGAGCAGAAGAGCAGGCCGGGCTTAGCAGATGACAGTTAGGCGTTTGGGCTTTAGTCACAGAGCAGTGGGGAGCTATTGTGAGCTTTTTAAAGCAAGAGTGTGACATAATCAGATTTGCATTTTTTAAGAGATTATTTGATAACTTTGTAGAGAAAGGATTGAAAGGAAGCAAGAGGGGCTGCGGAGAGACCAATTTAGAGGTTATCACAAATGATGGTGGCTTGGACTAGGCTGAGGATGGTAGAAATGGGGGGGAGTAGTAGGAGGTAAAACCAACAAGTCTTGGCTGTGGGTTTGAAGTTGGAAGTAAGGCGGGGAAGATTTCTGGCCTCCACAACCAGGTAGAGGACAACACCCTTCTCTAAGACAAAGAACTCTGGAAGAGGACCGTGTTTGTAGGAGAAGATGTTGAGTTCAATTTGAACATTCTGAATTTGGGGAGACTATGAGATTCCTAAGTGGAGAAATTGAGTATGGAGTTGGATATATGGATATGGTGCTCCATGAGAGATTTGGGTTGGAGAAACACGTTTGGAAATTGTCAGCTCATAGAACCCTTATGAAAGCCCCGAATGTGGATGAGACTGCCTAGGGAGAGTGTAGAGTAAGAAGAAGCAGTGCCCAGGACTGAGCTTAGAGGCCCTGCAGGTGGTATGGTGGGAAATCTCCTCTCACAGGGTTGAGTGGCAGCTGAGACTCAGAGCAGTTACCTTGATGTGAAGAACAAGGCGGAGGTACACCAAGTTTAGAGTTGAAACTCAATGCATTTTTCTGGGTCAACTGTGTCATGGGTTACGTAGATCTTTGTGGGCTAGCCTAAGAACCTGATTACCATGTAACTCCATGATTACCTGAGGAAAGTGTTTAAGTTCCAAAAGATCTGCTTGTAAGGAAGCAGAAAAAACAAAATTAATGCATATGTTGAGGACTACCTGAGTCTTCAGAAGGGCACGTACAGTGTTTTTCAAACTTTTGAAAAAAATGTTGTCAGCAGATTTCTTTTAAGTAGGATCGTTTAAGTCCAGTAAATGAAATAGCTCAAAGTGTGGCTGTTCTGACTGTAGCCCCTGCCTTCAGCTCCCAACGCCACCCCTCAAGCTTGTCTGCACCCCCATGGGAGGCCCAGGGCTCTGTGGGATGGAGTTTCTGATCTCATTACTACTTCCAAGTAAGCCAGTTCAAAAACCTAAGCCAAACAAATGACCTAAGAGCAATAAATTCATGCCCTCAACTTGTCTAGGATATTAACAGTCATTTTTTATATAGAACAGAGGTTTATTAGCCTTCTTTCTGGCGTATGAATAAGCCTGAAATTCAAGAGCAATTAATATAATCCTGGATTGTCAAAGCATTTTATCTGTCATTATTGAGTTACTTTTATGTGCGTGAATTACAAGAGAGGCACAACCCTGGGAAGAAGTAGACTGATATTTCCTGTTTTTGTAGGCATGTGTGTGTTTGATGTTTTGTTGACAAAAGTGAGTGTTGAAAAGTGAGCGTTTCTGGCCCCCGACCCCGGACTGCCAAGGACTGGTGCTATGTAAGAGTTTCTGGGTTTTTCTCTTCCCTGCCATCCCAGGGAGCCCTTGAGAAGGGAAAGCTGGGGTAGAGGTCACACCTGTCTGCCTGTAGTAAGGGACTGGCCGTTGCTTGGCATGTAGGGTGCTCTTGTTACAGAACAATGCAGGGGGCGTCAGAGTCTCCTTCTAGACCAGGGTTTCTCAACCTTGCCACTATTGACATTTTGAGCCAGAGAATTATTTGTTGTAGGGGCCTATCTTGGGTATTTTAGGATGCTTAGAACATCTCTGGCCTCTACCAACTAGATGCCAGTAGCACCAAAAAACAAAGCCTGTGGCAGTGAGGAGAAGCACCAGACTCTAATATGGCTGCAAGGACTTGTGAGTTTGGCTCCAGCCCACCTCTGCAGTCTTCTATTGAACAGCTGATGCCAGCCACCTGGCCCCTCATGTTCATCATGCCCCCTACAGCCACAGTTGTGTGTGCTCTTCTCACAGTCTGGAGCATTCTTCACCCCACCCCACCCCACCCCCGTGGCCTTCCTTGACCATACAGGGTAAGTCAGAGTCCCTGGTTTATATTACCTGGTTCCTTGTCCCTTTCCTTGATAGCACCAATCAGAAATTGTTAAATAAGAGGTGTTATCATATGATTAAAGTTGGTCTCCTATCCCTTCCTCCCCCTTGTCAACAACTACTTTTCCTTTGGGTCTCATCTCAGTGTCCCATCATTAGGGAGTCCTTCCCTGAATGCCCACGTCCCTAATCCCTACCCGCAGCCCAGCGTATGTTCCTTTGTTGTGTCCCTTGTGGACCTGGGTGCTGATCCCTCAGTGATTGTTGCAGTGTGTAACTATACATTCAGTAGTGTGGTTATTTGATTAAATGTGTTTGCCGTCTGTCTCACCAACTATAGACCATAAGCTCCTTAAGGGCAGAAACAGCATCTTTTCTTATTCAGATATATCCCTGATGCATAGTATATAATAGATGTTCAAATAAACATTCATTGAATGAAAACAGGGGTTAGCCAGCCCTGACTCAAGCTGAATCTGTTAGGTCGAATGAACTAGGTTGACTTGTTCCTCCCTGTTTGTGGCACTGTCTTTAAAACCAAAAAAAAAAACCAACATTTAAAAAAATTTTTAAATGAACACAGATACACAAAACATGGAACAAATGTGTGGCTTTATGAATTATTCCAGGGAAATAACCTTGTGACTACCACCAAGTAAAAAAATAGAACTTTGCTGGCCACCAGGAAGCCCCATCCGTGTGTCCCATCCCAAGCCTCTCTCCCCCGTAAGTGACCACTAGCCTGACTTTTATAATACTCACTTCTTTGTGGGTTTTTTGTAGTTTTATCATTGAAATATGCATCCTTAAACAAAACTTTAGTCTTGCCCACTTAAAAATTGGAGATGTCTTTTAGTCCACTTTAATGTAAGGGATTCTCCCTCCATCCCTTTCTTTGCCTTACAGTTTATCTTTTGAAGAACCCTGGGCTGTTCCACCTGTAGAATTTCCCAGTCTGGACTTTGCTGATTGCACACTCAGGGTGCAGTTCAGCACATTCCTCTTTTCTCTGCATTCTTGCAGATTGGCAGCTGGATCTAGAGACGTGATCAGATTCAGGTTCAGACCCTTTGTCAAGACTGCAGCAGTCACGCAACGTTCAATTGTCTCTTCTTGTGACGTTAGCAGTCATTGAAACATAATGCCCATATCTGTTCATTCACTAGCAGTTGTAAAATGGTGATGTTCCAATTTTATCATTTCTTTTCCACTTAATAATTGGAATACTTTTATAAAATGATAACTTCCCCTCATCTATTATTGGTTACTGTTCACATAGTTTACATAGGAAAGTCAAGATAAATGTTTCTTACCCTTATTTACCAGTTTTCATTTATAATGAATTATTTCTCCATCATCCTCCAAAGTAAACTGTTTCTTTTTAAAGATACTTTATGAATGTATAGATTTAAGCATAATGAATGTGTTTCAATCCCTTGCAATTATTATCATAATTTTGGTACTGCCTTTTGGGCAACCCTGGTGCCCAGGCTGCATATTGCTCTTGGGTAGTGGGAAGGGGGAGTAACCACATAGGGACTGGGAGACTGGGACTGTCCCTGCCCCGGGTGCCTTGGCAGCACGATCCCCGACCCCTCCCTAAATGGCTGTGGGAAGTCCCTCTTGGTGGAGCCCATTCCTGCCGCCTTCTCCCAGCTGGTTCTCTGTCACTCTCCTTTCCTTCCCAGGTTTGGTCGGAAGAACGTGCTATTTGTGACCATGGGCATGCAGACAGGCTTCAGCTTCCTGCAGGTCTTCTCAAAGAACTTCGAGATGTTTACCGTGCTGTTTGTCCTTGTAGGCATGGGCCAGATCTCCAACTATGTGGCAGCATTTGTCCTGGGTATGGCCTTCAAGTTGGAGTTGAGTACTTGATCCTGTGTTTCACCACCATCCCACCACCCACCTTCTGGAAACAGCTGTGATGTCCCTCAGGAGGACGTGGTCTCTAGCAACACCTACCAGGGCTCCTCAGTGAACTCAATTTGCAGGCAGGGAAACTGAGCCCGCCAAGTACCTGGCCTTGGATCCCCAGCAGCACAATAGCCTGATTGCTGAATTCCAGTTCTTTTCTGGCCTCTGAGGTGTGGCACCGTGGTCTCATTAGTACTTGATGGCCATTTTACTAGAACTCACCGAAGATTATCCATTAAAAAAAGGGCCTGCCACTGCCCAGGGCTGAGGTAGCTAAGGAGAAATAGAGGCATGACGTGAAGAGCTGGGGCCATGATTGGCAGGCTCACCAAGGAAGAAAACTGCTGCTTCTGCAAAACACTGTGGCTAATGAAATTGACTGGCAGGAATGAATTGAGAGGAATGGGCTTTAGTCACGTGACCTTCAGGGTTTTAATTCAAAGTACACACTGCAGGGGTTTGGCCTGTTCTCACTGAAAAGTTGCCAGTCTCACTGTTTGGAGGAATCTAAATTTAGCTTATTGGTGTTTGGGTTCCTTGGGTTGTATTGTTGAAAGAATTATTTCTTTCTTTTTACTTCTAATAGAATATTTTTTCCTTAAAGGATAATAGCATGTGTGGCCTCAGTAATGGCTTCCCCTTTAATGAATTCTTCCTCACATGAGGATTAAATTTGGGGGCCTAATGTGGCATCTTTGGCTTGTGATCAGGAAGTGATGAAATTTTCATGAGAGAACTGTCGCTGAGGGGCCTGAGAGGCCACCATGAGGCACCCCCAGCAGATGGTCAGACTGGACTGGGTTCAGAATCCTGTCCCTCCCTTGGGTTTGGAAACTTAAAGATAATCCTGGTTGTTTTCTTGTCTGGGTATTGAAAATCATACAATAGAAGATTAACAAGCAACGAACCTAAATTAAAATGCTAACATGAATCCTCCCTTGTTTTGAACAGGAACAGAAATTCTTGGCAAGTCAGTTCGTATTATATTCTCCACGTTAGGAGTGTGCATATTTTATGCATTTGGCTACATGGTGCTGCCACTGTTTGCTTACTTCATCAGAGACTGGCGGATGCTGCTGCTGGCGCTGACGGTGCCGGGGGTGCTGTGCGCCATACTCTGGTGGTGAGTGTGGCCCTGTGCCCAGTGGAGCCCACTGGCAGGATGTCTTCTGTCTGGCATTCACTAGGGGGAAGCAGCAACCCACAAATCCCTATTTGGGCTCCCAGAGACAGAAAGTATAAATTATTTACAAGTTGTTTCAGAATCTTTTCTCCACACTCAGAAAATCCAAAAACAAAACAAAACATAACAGAATCCCAAGACATCAACAGACTTGTTCTCAGCCCTGTGCTGGGTTGATTGGAGAGTAGGAAGAAGCAGTAGCTGTGGGATGATGGTATCTAGCATGACCTCCAGGAAGTCATCAGACCGCAGGACAAGACAGCTTAGCCCCTGGTTCTGGCTCTGTGTTGCCTAGGCCTTGTGCTGCGGTCACTGGGAGAAGAGGGAGAGCACTGGAAGTAAGAGTCCTCAGGGTGGCTGCATGGAGGAAGCCAGGATCCATCTGAGCCTCCAAGATAGAGGAGTTGGAAGGCACAGAGGAGGCCATTCCATACCAAGAGAGGGAACACAGCAGAGGGGCTGAGGCGGGGAATCGCTTCTTGCAGGTGGGAATGGTGAGATCACTGGCCCACGTGGAGCTGAGGGCATTTCAGAGCATAGTTGGAGAGCATACAGAGCACATCATGGGTCCTGGTCATGACTGAAGGGCGGGGGCTACCTGGTAAGGTAGAAAGTAAGATCCACAAAGTCTGAAAGTACCTAGGTGCCTTGATAAACACAGGTAGAGAGTCTGACAAGTCACTTGGATGAATCAGGGGTGGAGGAGTTAGGAAAAAGTAGAGGCCAAGAGGCCAGTGCAGAAGCTTCTATGGATGTCAAGGACAAGCAGAAGAGTACAGCAGGGCCAGGGTCTGGGCTGGGCGGAGCCCACCGCCGAAGCCAGGCTTCAGGAGCCCATCTTGTGCCTGTCTCCTTGGCGTCCAGCAGGTGGCACTACCGCTCTTGCTCTTCAGAATTGGAGGCGGCCAGCCAGTGGATGAATCCCATTGTGGTGGGCAGGCCCTTCCAAATTTTGTATACTTCATTGTACTCAAAAGCTCACACTTCAGATGATTACTGGGTGTGCTATGGACCATCTCTTTGCTTCTGGCTTAGAAACACCAAACATTCCCCAAACCTAGCTCTTGTCTGAAACCCCATAATCCATATCCACCTTTGCTACATGTGGTCTGCTGGGCAGCTATTGGGCAGGAAAGCCTCAGTGAGATTGCTCCTTGTACTTCCAGGTTCATCCCTGAGTCCCCCCGATGGCTTATCTCTCAGGGACGATTTGAAGAGGCAGAGGTGATCATCCGCAGGGCTGCCAAAATCAATGGGATTGTTGCACCGTCGACCATCTTTGACCCAAGTGAGGTAAACACTATGTGGAAGCTGGTGGGAGGGTCTTGGTGACCATGATTTTAGGGCAGTACCACACAGCCCTGAAGCCCTCCCTTCGCACAGGGGCCCGGCCCTCTCGCTGCCTGAGCTGCAGCTGCCCCCAAGGCAGGCTCTGTTGTAATGCAGAAGTTCAGGGGCCAGCGGCCCTATGATGTAGCGGTTAAGTGCAGTGCGTGCACTCCACTGCTGGCCCCTGGGTTCGGATCCTGGGCGCGCACCGACGCAACGCTTGTCAGGCCATGATGTGGCGGCGTCCCACATAAAGTGGAGGAAGATGGGCCTGGATGTTAGCCCAGGGCCAGTCTTCCTCAGCAAACAGAGGAAGATTGACATGGATGTTAGCTCAGGGCTGATCTTCCTCTCAATAAAAAAAATTCTAAAATTCAGAAGTTGAGGAGAAGGTGCCAGCTGCCTAAATCTCTTCACCTTTCCCATGGATTTTAGGTTTTCATACTTCATATACTTCTTTTCTAGGCAATTATGTAGTTTAACCATTACTTTTAATAATAAACACTCTTTGTGAGTAACAGGCCTTTTATGAAGTTGGCATTTTGGAGCATCACTGTTTCTTATATCTTAGGTAGTTTCTCAAAAAAATAATGCATTACATAAAATATGAAGCAAAAATAGATTTGGAGTTAGAAATGTTCATTCTCCTTCTGCCCACGGATGGTTAGTTGTTGCACATTATCTTGGAGCCAGGTCCTTTTGGATATCTGCCCTTCCCCCTAGCCCACCACTCCCTTCAAACCCTGTTCTCACAGCCATGAGTAATTTCTTGGCTCTGCCTGATTCCTAGGTCTTGTTTCTCCTTCCTGTTCCCTCTCCTTCCACCCTCTGCAGCAGGCAGTTTTCCTCAGTCTCATGACTACGAGAAGAGGGTAAAAGTTGTAATTGCTGGCTGTTGGGGTTCTGGACTGTGTCTCTGATCTGACAGGAAGACAAGGGACTGGCTGTGAGAACAGCCACCAGCAGTCCTGCTGAAGTATTTGCAGAGGGCATGTTAGAGAGGCTCGGGACTCAAGATGCAGACTTGGGCTTGGGAAAGAGAGACTACCCACTCTAGGCAAAGAAGCCGCTGGCCACTGCCGGCCCTGCCGGCCTCACAGTTAAGTGGTGGCCCAGCAACAACTCCCATCCAGCACGTACTGGAAGGGGTCAGGGCAGGAGTAGATGGCTGGGAGGGCTTTTAAGTGAGGTAGCTTTGGTGGCTTTTCAGGGAGGGGTCAATCTGAGGGAACCCATAAGCCCTACTGGCACCTTTGAGGAAATGAGGCTATTTCAGGGGATCCATTAAGTCAAAAGTTGACCTTTTGTTGAACCATTAACTCAGGAAAAACAAACTCCAAAGCTGGGTCTGCTTAAGAAAGCAACATCAGTGTGTTTAGACATGTGGTTTATTAATGTCCTTGGCTGTGCTGAATTTCATGGGAAGTTACTCTGGGTGAAGTTGAGGTCAATTTTCCTGTTTTTCTATCTGAAATTTTTTTCCTTGGAAGTAGACCAGTAACTACATGGTATGAGGACTCAAAACATTAATTCTTTTAAAATATCACATCAGTAAATTACATAGCCAGTTTCTCTCTCTGACCCAGAGGGCAGGGAGCCAGCCTTGGGAAGGGATGCTCAGAGGCCTCCCTGGAATGTGGCCACTGACAATGGCTGAGAGTGGTGCCGTGAGGGAGCTGACAGCTTGCACCTCTGCCTTGGCTGCACCCCCTGAGGGACTGGTCACCTACTTTTCCTCCTCATTCTTGTTCAGTAATTTATTATGGACAAGGCCTGGGGAAGCCTTCTGCAGCCCAAGATACAGTCACTGTACTTACTTTTCTTTTCAAGAAACAAACACAAAGCACTCCCCAACTGGGAAATGCAGAAAGTGAAGATGCTAGGGTTTCGGGTATGTTCTTGGATCTCTGACTCTCTGATCTTCTCTCCCTCCCATACCCTTGTCATATCGTTCCTGCAGCTAGAAGACCTGAGTGCCAAGAAGCAGCAGTCCCACAGCATTCTGGATCTGCTCCGAACCCGGAATATCCGAATAGTCACCGTCATGTCTATAATTCTGTGGTGCGTAAGCAAGACCTACCTGAGGCTTCCAGAAAAAGCTTCTGGCAGTGGCTGTCAGCCCTCTCGTTTGCAGACATGTCTCAGACCAAAAGTGAAAGCCTATGTCATCCGAAAGTGCAAAGTATGTGCCTTGTAATGAAAGAAATGGGAACATCACAATTCTTTTTTTTTTTTTTTGGTGAGGAAGATCGACCCTGAGCTAACATCTGCCAATCCTCCTCTTTTTGCTGAGGAAGACTGGCCCTGGGCTAATATCCAGGCCCATCTTCCTCCACTTTATATGGGACGCCGCCACAGCATGGCTTGCCAAGTGGTGCGTGGGTGCACACCTGGGATCCGGGCCAGCAAACCCTGGACCGCTGCAGCAGAGTGCGTGCACTTAACCACTTGCGCCACTGGGCCGGCCCCATATCACAATTCTTAACTTAATGGAATCTTAGAAAAGGAGAATGAAAATTGTCATGGGGGCTTTTTTAAGACATATGGGATCTTTGGGGATCCCTCCAGGTCCTGAGGCCAATCCTTGCTCACTTTGGGTCCTAGGTTAGTTGTTCCTGTCCCCTGTGCCTCAGCCAGTGACTGAGGAGGACAGGTGAGGCCTTTAAGAAGAATCTAAGTGAAGATACCATGTCCTTTCGGTTACAGAGTCTGCTAAGTACTTTCTGGAAATGTGAAGCAGGACCTTCTCCCTCTGGGATGTTCAGAGACTGTCCTGGAAGCAGGGCCGTGACCTAGTTGTTCTCATCAGGTTCCTTCTAACGAGGCATGTCAGCAGGTGTATCAGGAAGGGATTTGTGAGTTACCAGAGAGGGAACACATCTGAATGCCTGGATAGTGTTTGCTCAGTTGCCAGAGCCTTGGGATTAAGGTGACTGCTTGAGGCTGCTGGGTGAGGAAGGCAGACTTCATCCTGGAGTACTTACTACTAGAGTCAACCAGCCTTGGGGCAGACAACCATTTTGCTGGCGGGGGGGGGGGGGGGGGGGGGGGGGTACTATGAATCACCCATTTCCAAGGAATGGCCCAGGATCCCTCAGGGCAGTGCACTGTCCCTGAGTCGGCCTCACACAGGACCAGTGTGCAGCCTGCACCACAGACTTGCCAACCTGCGATGAGTCGCCCATTCTGTGGTTCACCCAGGTGCACCTCCTGCTCTGGATTTCCCAGGGACTCCTGCACATGCCTTTTCCCCTGATTGTACCAGCCTGGGTTTCCCCCACAGATGAGTCAAAAACAGTCTAATCCATAAAGGTCCATTTTGCCAAAGAGAGTTGATCATCAACAGAGAGAATGCCTGCTGGTGACAGGGTCCAGGCCAGGGACACTGGGGGGCATGCAGATGAGAGGCGATGTGTCCCCGCCATTAGGAGCTCCCTCTCCTCTCCCTGAGCACAGTGGGGTTGGGGTCAGCTGCCTCTGGCCAGCCTTTTCCTGGCTGGTTGCCACAGGGGGTCTGCTAGGGGGCTTTCTCCAAATGCTTGACCTAATGATTGTTCCTTATTTTATCTTATCCCTCCAATCCTATCACAGCCCACTTGATACCTGCTTCCTTACACATTTCCCAGCTCCTTTTGCAATTGCTGGATTTGGGGAGGTTCAGAGAGGAGGGAAGTAGGCTTTTGTGAGTGCTTCAGCTTAGGATTTTTAAAGCTGAAAGGCAGGTTGGAGTCTCCCCCACCCCCCAACAAAGTGAATCTATCTGAATTATATAAGCCTTTTTGCTGAGACTCTTTATGTCTGGAATGCTTTGAAAGTGCTCCAGCCCACAGTTCACCGTGGGCTGGGGGAGGTTATCTTTTGTTCTGAGAAGTAAGACTCAGGGTTCAATCTGCTGCCCTCCTGGTGAGGATGGTTCTGGATTTCCTGCAATAATTGTATTGTAAAAGTTGTCCAGGTTGGGAGGCACGTGGATGCTGCTTCTCCAGCTTTCCCCTGCACTCTCTTTCAGGCTGACCATATCCGTGGGCTATTTCGGGCTTTCCCTTGATACTCCTAACTTGCATGGGGACGTCTATGTGAACTGCTTCCTTTCGGCAGTGGTTGAAGTCCCAGCATACGTGTTGGCCTGGGTGCTGCTGCGGTATCTGCCCCGGCGCTATTCCATGGCCACTGCCCTCTTCCTGGGCGGCGGCGTTCTTCTCTTCGTGCAGCTGGTGCCCCCAGGTAGGGACCATGTGCATCTGCGGCCTGGGGTCTTCGTTGAGTCACTCAGTCTCTACCAGGCTCTCTCCCCCAGTTAAGAAAGAGAATACTATCACAGCATCACAGCTCACCTGCATATCTGCATTCTTGGCCAAAAAAATCAAAAGCAACTGTCTCCTGGGACCAGATCATGGCCTTGGGCTTTGGGGGAGTGGGGAGAACATCTATAAGGGGGAGGAAAGAGAGCCAGCCCTATTACTTTTTAATCTGGCCCTGTCTTAGTCATTTATTTATTCAACAAGTAGCTATGGAGTGCCTGCTGTGGGCTCGGCACTGTGCTTGGGGCTAATGATGCAGAAGTAAACGAATCGGGCAGACCCAGGCCCTCCTGGAGCTCACACGCTAATTGAGAAGACAGACGACAAACGAGTAAATAAGATGCTTAATATAGTACAGATGGTGTTACCTTTTATAATGACGATAAAGGACAGTGGAGAGCTAGTTTATAGATAGTGGTCATGGACAGTGTCCCTGAAGAGGGGGCAGTTGAGCAGAAATGTAGATGAAATGATAGAGAAGGCCATGAAAAAGTCTAGGAGAAGAGCATTTCAGGCCAAAGAAACAGCAAAGGCAAAGACCCTAAGGAGGGAATGAGCCTGGCATGTTTGAGGAGAAAGAGAGAGCTGGTAAGAGATGAAGAGAGGGAGAAGGGAGGGGCCAGGTCACAGAGTGGGTCTCACAGGCCGTTAACAGGATTTTATCTTTAAAATTGTCTTGGTATCACACATGGGTAGAAGGCAGCCCTTTTGGACAATTCATAGAACAGTTTATGGATCTTCATATGACCATCATGGTACCCAGAGTTGTCCGTGTACCCATGGATTTGGGGGCCTCTGGTGATCATTTGTGGGCCCCTGAGGCTGGCCACACTCTGCACAGGAACAGCCCCCACTGTAGCCAGGCAGAGGAGCCCAGGAATGTATGCAGAAGTTCACACCAGTGCACAGGATAACCCACAGGTCACTCACAGCGTCTCCTCACGGGCACAGCAGCAGAACAGATCAGAGGATAGTTCTGAGGGTCTGCTGTCTGTGAATTGTGGAGGTCTGAGTAGAATGAAGGCATGAATGAGTTAGAATTGAACTCCCCATTCATCCATGAGTCATTAGTCAATTCCATAGTGCCTACAACATGAGGTTCTAGGGTGCCAGCTGACCCCTTGACAGACATGTCATTAACGACTTCTAGACTTGAAAGCAGGTTTATTTGGGCTATTGAGGGGCTCACTCTGGTGGTCTTTAGGCTGAGGAGAAGAGCATGTCCTCACACAGCTGCAGGTCCCCGGCTCTTCTCAGTAATCAACTTGGAGGGACATCTTGGCTATAGCCCCTTATCTCACAGCAGAAAGTTATAGAAACTGACTCCCCCCCGCCCCCCCAAAAAGGGGAGAGAGTATATTTGTTTCAGGCAAAAAAGAAACGGAACTCTCATTAGCAGTGTACTTTGGGTTGGTGCCTTCTCCTAGTTTCTTCCCTTTGCCTCTCCAGACTTGTATTATTTGGCTACAATCCTGGTGATGGTGGGCAAGTTTGGAGTCACTGCTGCCTTTTCCATGGTCTACGTCTACACAGCTGAGCTGTACCCCACAGTGGTCAGAAACATGGGCGTGGGAGTCAGCTCCACAGCCTCTCGCCTGGGCAGCATCCTGTCTCCCTACTTCGTTTACCTCGGTAAGTCCCATGGGCCGAGGGCACGCAGGAGAGATGGGTGGAGGCACTAACTGGCTTTAATGTGTGCTGGGGATGGCTTGTTAACAGGAAAACAAGCACACATAGCAAATGGGATCATCCAGTACTGGATCTATGCCTGGAGAAGGTTCTGGTCCAGGTGCACTGTTGGGGAGGCACTCACTTGTAAATGGAAAATGACCTATACGCTAGCTAGAAGTTGATGAGAAGAGTAGACAGATTTCTGTTTTAGCCATCCCAGGCTTTCCATTAGAGAAATCAATTCCCTTATCCTGATAAACTGCAGAGTGGTTTAGGGAGCCAATGTACTTAATTGGGGAAGTTTCTCCTTGGAATCCGAGTTTAAAAGAAACATGAAGGGAAAGATGTTCATTCAAGAGGTCTGAGGAACTAAGAATGATTGTAACTTGGAGACCTTTACACAGTAGTTTTGTACTGTGTAAGGATCTGCCTTGTGCCCTTTTATATAACAGGGCACAAATTTTCTCTTCCCAAAATTATTTCCTCATGGCAGCTGCTGTTCCCCTGCACATTTCTGGCCAGCACATCTTTGGGGAGGGGTGGCACCCACCTTGAGAGTACCCAGAGTGCTTGTGAACATGCTACATACATCTGACAAGCAGAAACAACTTTTTATCTGGCCTTCAAGCAGGCAAATCGAGCGGATTGTGACACATCTGGAGAGGCAGAGGAGTTATTCCTGTCCCTGGAGGACTACCTCAAGTTCCTTGGAAATCCAACATTGGGAAATAGGAAGAGTAATCATGGCTTGGCCCCTCCTCCCCGTCAGTACCCCTCCCCTGCACCGGGAGGCACTGCTGGACCTCTGGGCATGTCTGTGCCAATTCTGGGTTCTGAGACCTGTCTAGGTGCCAGATTCCAATCTGACAGCTCAGTCTGTGGGAGATGCTGAGGCTGAGAAGGCAGGTGATCCCATTTAGAGTCCTGGAGCACAAAGGGAGGAAGGGAGACCAAGTCTAACTGCACCCCTGGCTTGGGACTCTGTGTGCTTTGCCCTAGGTGCCTACGACCGCTTCCTGCCCTACATTCTCATGGGAAGTCTGACCATCCTGACAGCCATTCTCACCTTGTTCCTCCCAGAGAGCTTTGGCACCCCCCTCCCAGACACCATTGACCAGATGCTAAGGGTCAAAGGGTAAGGAGGCCTCCTGCTCCACAAGGTTGACGCACTGGGTCTGGGCCTGGCAGAGAGTTACCCACAAAGTCTCAAACACCATGGACTAGTTTATCCATCAGAGGGTTAGAAATGGCAAGGTGCTTACCGTTGATCCTCTCTGGTCTGACCCAGACCACCATGTCACCATACACATCTCCATAGCAACAGCAGCTCTAGGATAGTGCAGAGACTAGGAGAAATCTTGCAGAATCTGCCCTATTTTTTTTCCCCTTAGTGAAATATCCTTAGTTCTGGGTTTTGTTTGTCTGTTTTGAGACTGGTAGACATCTTTTTTATGATTTGTTACTAACATTTGTTTTTCTTGTTTTTATAGAATGAAATATAGGCAAACCCCAAGCCACACAAGGATGTTAAAAGATGACGAAGAAAGCCCCGCAATCCTTAAAAGCACAGCCTTCTAATAGAACCTCCAGTAAGTGAGAAAGTGAAGAGGAAAGACTGTCTTGTCGGAAATGGCTCGGGCAGACACCGAGTCCTGCAGGAGCAAAGGTCTTTACTGTTCATTCTTTTGACCCTTTGACTTGCTCGTGGATGGACACCCAGACTCAGAGGCTGCATATCGTCCTAGAACACCACCTTCCCTCCAGGGACACTGTGGCTACCGACAGACAACTTTGTATAAGTCCTAACTATTACAGTGATGGACTTGGCACTTCCTAAGAAGTTAACTATTCACTAGATTCTATTCACTAGAATCCCTAGTGGTTCACTAGAACCACTGGGATTTGGAAGAATATGAGAGGCATCTGCTAAATTTACATTTTAATTTCAGACTGCCCGAAGAGTCCCCTGATAAAACTAGATTTAATCCCCTCCTCCCTAAATCTTTTCCCGGTTTCCCTCTAATGGTGCACTTTAGAGGAAAAGAAATAATTTCACAGGGAGTACGATTTCTCACACTTTCTCAGTTACAGAGGATATTAGCTGGGATTGTTGCTTCCCCAGGGCAGGAGAGCATAGGTCCGGGGAAACCTCTCAAGGTCATTAATAGGGAGGAGACTGAGCAGATACAGAACACTGGCAAGTGCATTGATATGTGAGCTCTTAGACACTCAGTATGACTACTGGGTTGACTTGTTTACATCTATTCAAAGCATTGGGCTTGTCCAGGCCCATAAGAGAGGCATCATGGAATCTACTATTCTTGTTTTCCACTGCTGTGTAAATCAAACCTCCTAGCTACTATGGTTTCTGCTGTATGGTTTGAAGGAAGTATATCAGTGAGAAAGAGAGACAAAAAAACTTGTCTCTTCTCTTAAAATTATAATATAGATTTTGTTTGTTTGTTTTGTCTTTTTCTCCTTAATTTATTTGCCCTTCAGAATACACTTAGGAAAGACCGGTTCCTTAGCCTCCTAGTTTGTGTCTTTTTTTTTTCCCCCAACCCAGAATCACTCTGGCAATGGTCTGCAGTTGCCACTTGTGCAAGGCCTTACTGGCCTTAGCCACTAGCACTTCTCTGGGTGCCAAAAATGATGTCATTGTGTGTGTTCCTTTGTGATACCTAATCATGGTAAAAAATTACAAAGAAGAAAGTTACATTGTGTTCACAGTCTTTCAGAGTTGCTCACTTCAGTCGTGTAATGTTGGGAGATAATTTGTGTTCAGTGTAATTGTCTTCTCTTTTCTGATTATGTTACCACGGTACTTCTAAAGCATTTGTTTCACCTGGTTAAAAAAACATATTTTTGTGAAAGCTACTGAAGTGCCTTGGGAAATGAAGATGTTTTAATAAATAAAATGATTTTTTTAAATAATAGCAACTGCCCACAACCTTTATTTCTACAATTTGGTTAGCCATGCCACACCATCACCGACTTTTCACTGTCAACTTGGGCTAATGCTAGCAGTGGTTTGTGATTAGTCTCTAAGGCTAAGATCTAATCCATGTGTGCTAGAAACTTCACTATTAATTGACTGTGGACTGAGCCAGCCTTCTTGCACAAGTATCATAGCCTGGGTTCCCTTGAAAGCAGAGCCTGAGACCAGCGCTTCTGTGCAGTTAGGTAGTTTCTTTGGGAAAAACATTCCAGAGAGCAGGAGTAAAGGATAGAAGAAGGAAATAGGGAAGGAGGGATACCCAATACAAGGATGCATTATCAGGTTGGCTAGTGCCAAGGGCACTGCTCCATTCAGCCAGAACTTCTGAGGAGCGTTATGAAATGTATCTCAAAACTATCTGCACCATGGAGAAAAGGGGGAGACATTTATCTATTGGCTACCATTCCCCATTCATCAAAGGCAGCCCCCCAATTGTCAGCTCCCCACATTTCCAGGTTGCACATGCACGTGTTTGTTATGAGAGGTTCGGGGATTTGATCGGAGACGTAAAAGACACTTTCCACTCCAAACAAATGGACTGAAGGTATATTTTATTATATAGAGGATAGTAAAGGTGACAGTCTGCAAACAGATCTAAATAGGTCAAATATTAAGAGGGAAAAAACATCAGCCCGACTGGAAAGGAAAACACCCACATCGGCTGAAGAGAAATGACACAAATCAACCGGAAAGAGAAACACCGGGTTGACCGAAAAGAGAACACATCAAATCAATTACTTCATATCAACATGCCCCATTGCCAGGGAGAGTCCATTCAATCCACGCGGCTGGGCAAGGATCACACATCCTGGGCAAGGTGTCCCTTCCACAGGTGGAACTCTCACCGGGTCTCAGTTTCCAGCAGTTTTTATACCATCAGTGATTTTTAGAGTAAGCAATTACAGAGTTTGCAGAGCAAGCATTTAGTGTTTCCATGCACAAAATGGTTATCAGTGGCGTATGTGCACTGAGCCCCCTGGCTAACGTCCCAGCCCAGTAGTTGTGTACGTGCATTGTTCTCTTTGGTTATCGTCCTAGCCCGGCATAGATGGCCAGTCCATCCCGTGCTACGACGCTCCAAGAGCCTTGAAATGTTACAACTTGCAACTCTCTCTGTGGGGGAAGGGCCAGTTCCCACCACACAGAAAGCAGCTTGGTATTTCTGTTTGTGCTGGTGGCTGTAGGTCAATGGAGCGGCCAAACATGGCTGTACTCATGTCAAGACAGTGTTCCAAACAGGTTCTGTTCCTTGGGTGGGAAGCAAGAGGTAATACATTGTAGGACCGAGCTGAAGCACTGTCAGCCTGCACTTCAGTGAAGCTGGTCAAAGCCTGTGTGAACTGGTCACAGCAGCAGTGGCTGGAGTAAGTGGTGGGGTTGAGTGGATTGGGCATTGGACATGGTACACAAGACATATGTATACATATATATATCTATCTATATCTGTCTATATCTATATATATATGAAATGTATCACAAGGCAGTTTGAGCTAGGACGTATGGCTAGACCTAGGTAAAAAGCTCCAGTGGTGGATAGATAACTCAAAAGGCATGTTGCATAACAATACAAGCAGCATCAAACTCGGGTGGGAAGGAAGGAAACTCATCTTCTTTAACACCGTTGGCTTCTCCACTCTCCTCAAACCTGGTTCTGTGGTGGGTTCCTGATTAACTGACTTCACAGTGTTTCCAGAATATGAATTACGGTCCTACCTGCCCTTTTTCTCTTGTTGCATGAATGAACAGTTTCTGCGTTTTCTCTCTTATTCTCAATGCCACTGATTCCAGTCATTTGTGGCCTTCTGGAAGCAAAAATTATAATTACCTGAATGCCTAGAGCTCTTCCTGTGGTGGGGCAATAGCCCAAGTCAATGCTCCTGGGGCTGAGCCAAGTATCTGAAACTCCAAGCCCTCTGCCCTGCTAGACTTATATGGCTTGTTTCCATCAGAGCCATGACTTTGGAAAGACTGACCAAGTTATCCTGACCAGGGATTTCCTCTTAGGGAGAAAAGTGTGCATAACCTGTAGTCATACCAGTGTGCATAACACGGACATTTGGTGAGTGATGAAGTACTCAGTTAATACCCATAAGAATTAGAAACCAGGAGACCCAAAGAAATATGAAGGACAAAGCAAAGGAGGTGGAGGGACAATTCTGATTAAGGAAAAAGACTTCTCTGCTGCTGCTCAAGAAGAAATAGAAAATCTGAACAGACTTATAACTCATAAAGAGATTACATTAATAATCAAAAACCTCCCAACGAAAAGAAACCCAAAAGGTGAATTCTACCAGAAATTTAAAGAATTAACAATCCTTCTCAAATTCTTCCCCAAAAAGGAGAAAATACTTCCTAACTCATTCTATGAGTTAGCCAGCATTACCCTATGTCAGCATAAGCCAGACACAGACATCAAAAAAAAAGGAAACTATAGATCAATATCCCTTATGAATATAGATGCAAAATACTCAACAAAATAGTAGCAAACCAAATCCAGCAGCATACTAAAAGGATTATATATCATGACCAAGTAAGATTTATCCTAAGAATACAAGGGTAGCTCAATGTACATACATTAATCAATGTAATGCAGCACATTAATGGAATGAAGGTTTTAAAAAATGATCATATCAATTGTTGCAGAAAATTGTTTGACAATATCCAACACTCTTTCATGATAAAACACTCAACGAACTAGAAATAGAACTTCCTCAACATGATAAATGGCCCCTATGAAACCCCACAGCTAGCATTATACTCAGTGATGAAACTAAGAGCTCACCCCCTAAGATCAGTAACAGACCAAGGATATTCATCTCACCACTTCTATTCAACATTGTACTGGAAGTTCTAGCCGTAGCAATTAGGCAAGAAAAAGAAATAAACAGTATCCAAGTTGATAAGGAAGAAGTAAAGCTACAGTAATCAAAACAGGTGGTACTGGCAGAAAGACAGACATACACAACAATGAAATGGAATAGAGAGCCCAGAAATAAACCTTCACACATATGGTCAAATGATTTCAAAAAAGGTGCCAAGACCATTCAAGGGGGAAAGAATAGTCTTTTCATCAATGGTGCTTGGAAAACTGGATATCTGCATGCAAAAGAATGAAGTTGGACCCTTACCTTAGACCATATGCAAAAATTAACTCAAAATATATCAAAGATCTAAACATAAGAGCTAAAACCCTAAGAATTTTTAGAAGAAAACATAGGAGGAAAGCTTCATGACATTGGATTTAGCAATGATTTCTTGGATATGACACCAAAAACACAGGCAACAAAAGGAAAAAAAACAGATAAATTGGTCTTCATCAAGATGTAAAACTTTTGTTATCTGCCAATTATATCTCAATAAAACTGGAGGGAAAATTACAACTTTTGTGCATCAAAGGACACTATCCTTTGTGAAAAGGCAACCTACAGAATGGAAGAAAATATTTGCAAATCATATATCTAATAAGGGGTTAATATCCAAACTATATAAAGAACTCCTACAGCTCAACAACTAAAAAGAAATTTTTTTAATGGGCAAAGGACTTGAGTAGACATTTTTCCAAAGGAGATATACAAATGGCCAATAAGCACATGAAAAGATGCTTAACATCACTAATCATTAGGGAAATGCAAATCAAAACCACAATAAGATACCACTTCACACCAATTAGAATGGCTGTTATTAAAAATAAAAACAGAATATAACCGGTATTGGCAAAGATCTGAAGAAACTAGAACTCTTGTGCATTGCTAGTGGGAATGTAATGATGCAGCTGCTGTGGAAAACAGTGTAGTCGTTCTTCAAAAAATTCTAAACATAGAATTACCATATGATTCAGCAATTCCACTTCTAGGTATATATTCAAATGAATTGAAAGCAGGAACTAGAACAGATATTTGTACACCTATGTTCACAGCAACATTATTTACAATAGTCAAAAGGTGGAAACAACCCAACTGTCCATCAATGGATGAGTGGATAAACAAACTGTGGCATATACACACAATGGAATACTACTAGGCCTTAAAAAGGAATGAAACTGATACATGCCACAACATGGATGAAAACATTATTAACCTTGAAAACATTATGCTAAGTGAAATAAGACAGACATAAAAGTACAAATATTGTGTGATTTCATTTATATGAGGTACCTAGAATAGTAAAATTAATAGAGACAGAAAGCAGAATAATGATTACCACAGGCTGGGGGGAAGAGGTAATGGGAGTTATTGTTTAATGGGTACAGAGTTTCAGTTTGAGATGATGAAAAAGTTTTGTATAGACGGATGGTGGTGTTGACTGCACAACAATTTGAATGTACTTAATGGCTCTGAATTGTACACCTAGAAATGGTTAAAATGGTAAATTTTGTTATGTATATTTTACCACAATAATTAATTTTTAAAAAGAATTGTTCAAGTATAATGGCAATAAACATTCTTAAATATTAAAGTCAAGCAATAAGGTACCTATGAATCCTTTTTGAAAGAAACTATTTAAAATTAAAATCCAGCCAATTAATAAATCAATTTGCAACTCATATAACGAAGAGCTAATTTACCTAATAGAAAAAGATCTACAAATAAATAAGAAAAAGTCAACAACCTCAATAGAAAATTGAGCAAGAGATATAAACAATACACAGAAATTGAAGTACAGATGACTTTTAAACATATGAGAAGATTCTGTACCTCACTCCTAATAAGAGAGATACAGGGGCCAGCCAGGTGGCGCAAGCGGTTAAGTGCACGCGCACCACTGCAGCGGCCCAGGGTTCGCTGGTTCAGATCCCAGGCGTGCACTGACGCACCACTTGTCAAGCCATGCTGTGGTAGCCTCCCATATAAAGTAGAGGAAGATAGGCGTGGATGTTAGCCCAGGGCCAGTCTTCCTCAGCAAAAAAAGAGGAGTATTGGCAGATGTTGGCTCAGGGCCAATCTTCCTCACAAAGAGTAGAAGAGAGAGAGATACAAATGAAAACTACATCAAGATATCATTTTTCACCTATTTATCCATCCTTCTTTCTTTATAAATGCAAGGAGAAAAATGTATCTAATAATATTTTCCTTGTATTAATAGTAATAATTTTTGGATGGTAAGATTTGGGGGAACTTTTAAAGCATTCATTGTTGTGCTTTTTATACTGCTCGTATTCCATATAATGAGCATGTATAGATTTTGAAGTGGTTTTTAGTTAAAAAATAAAACTGAACGTAAATACGCAAGATGAGAACAAGGATGAAATACTTTCTTCTGTGTACTTTGCAGTATTTTTTAAACTCCTTCAACCCCCTCCCATACTTTCACATATTTTTAATGCATTTCAACTCCCGATATGACATACTTCCAGTTTTATATTTCTCCTTGACACTCCTGCCTCCATCCATACATTGTCCTCCTTCATCAAGATTATCCCAATGATCACCCCTCTGATTATCCCAATTCTACCCATGTTCAAGGTTCGCCTCAAGCACATCCTCTTCCTGGGAGGCACTACAGCTTATTGGCTAAGTGCCCAGACCCAGAACAGATAGATTATGTAGTCCAAAAGTAGGCTTCTCCACTTACCGGCTCTATAACTTTGAGCAAATCACTCAACCTTTCTAAGACTCAGTTTCCTCATCTGTAAAACAGATGAACTATCTCTCTGGGTTCTTATAAGGATTAAATTAGATCATGCATATAAAGTGCTTAGCAGTACCAAATTTGTGTTGAGAATAATAATATTGGTATTCCTCCTGACTTCCCTAATGTCATTATTGACTCTACAAATAATTAGTCCTTATCGCATTCCAGTTGGTTCCATGAGGGAAATTATGACTACCTTTGGGGGAAAAGACAGGTCTTCTCTCCCTAAGGTACTTAAGTAGTACATTTGATAGGTTTTTTTTTTAATTTAACAAATAGTTTTACTCATTCATTTCTTAATGAGAGACAGAGCCCCAAGGAAGACACACTTCATGATGCCCACACCTACTTCTTTCTCTTTCAGTCCAAGCACACTAATGGTATCTGGGCTTTCTGAAGACCTGGTAACAAAGCATGTGAACTTCCCTGCTGTCAGCCTCCATACTTGACTGTGAGATGGGTACGGGCTGTCTGGGATCTGCGATTAGTGAAGGAAATGTTCAACCTAGAAGAGAGCTCAGTGTTCAAATACTCACGTAGGAGTCATGATGTGTCTTCAAGCCTGCTGCAGTAGGGTGAACCAGTGTTGGACCTGAACAGCTCTGCCATCTCACGGGTGATTCACTCAGGCTGCTGGTGACTGCAGTCTCCGTGACGGGGTCATCCCATGCCACCCAGCTGTCCAAGGGCACCTTGCTCAGGGAGACAGACGTCAGAGCGAGAGTGCCTTTTGGAGCGCTAGCTTCTTTTTCCCACAGAGATTTCCATTTGTGTTGCCAAATATGTAAGTCTTTTCCTTCAGGAACACTTTAAAAGACTACTCCCTTTTCCCAGAGAACCAGGGCCCCCAACAGCAAAATTATTTACCTTTGATTGTTCAAGAACAATTGCTCACTCTCTTTCCATTTTTTGACTTTGCTTCCTCCTCAAGAAAGTTAAAGGATATTTTTGCTATTGGTAGGTCATATTTTTCTAGAGGCAAACAGTTCTAGTATTGAGTTCTAAACTGAGGTTAGGAGATTATCCACGCAACGAGCACCTTTTTACAAAGAAGACCAGAACCAGACACTAGGTCACACAGAGGACACAGCTGACAGTTTAGTAGCAAAGCACAGACATATCTTATGAGTGGGAAAGTGGATATGGAGGTTTCCTGCCCACCTGACACCTCACCCAACATGTGCAGAATGGAAGCCCTCCAAAATTTTGTCCTTTCCCAAGATTCCCCAGCTCAGTGAAGGGCATCATTATGTCAGTGTGGTCCTCCTAGAGCCGACGCCAAGACGGAATTAAACGTGTGAGAGTTTACTGCGGAAAATGCCCATGAAGGGTAAAGAGGAGAGAGAGCAGGAGTGGGCAGAGAGAGACTCAGACCACGATGCAGGTCTGTCCCCTGTGAAAGGGGAAAGGGAATGAAGGAGGATTAGGTAGGAAGAGCCTCAGACTTCAGAGCAGTCTGAGAAAGTGTTGGCCACACCTGGGAAGCCCTATTAGAGGAGTCCCGCCTTGGGCAGAAATGGCCTGGCTCTGGTATCCCCACTGTGCTCATTCTTTAGCTGGGAGCAGCCAGAGAGCGCGTGGCCTTGTGTGAACACTGCAGCGGATCTGAAGGTGCAGTGGCTGGAGGCTGTCAGCTAACTATGTTCTTTGTAGAAGATTCTCTTGAAGAGAGATCTGAGTACCTGCCTGGCTGCCACAATCATTTATTCAGTTATGCAGCCTTGGAGTCATGCTTGATATCTCCTTCTCCCTTATCTCTAAGACCCAATCTACTGCCAAGTTCCTGACCATTTTACCTCCTAAATATCTCTCACTTCTGTCCATTTCTCTACATCTCTCCACCACTACCACCATCATCTTGCTCCCAACTGGTGACATCTTTCAATCTATTTGCCACATAGCACACAGAGCAGTCTTTTCAAAACACAAGTCAGATGATATAACCTCCTGCTTAAACAATGTCAGTGCTCATAGGATAAAGACCTAAGTCCTTAGCATGACCTTCAAAGCCCTACCTGTTACGGCTTTTGCCTTACTCTCCAGCCCCTTGTGAACTTGGGTCCTCCTTACTCTCTGCTCCACTGACCCTTTCTTTGGTCATCAGATAGATAATGGTTCAAATCCAGCCTGCTTCCAGTTCCCCAAATGCTCCAAGTTCTTTCCTACCTCAGGACTTTTGCACATACTGTTCCCTCCACCAATTATCTCTTCTCCAACCCCATGCCCCTTTACCCAGTTAACTAATCCTCATTCGTTAGCACCCAATTCAAACATCACTTCTTCAGGGAAGCCTTCTCTGACTCCCAGTCAAGTTCAAATCCTTTGCTATTCCCTCTCATAGAATCAAATGCTCCTTGTAGCATTTAGGATGGTATTCTGTTTTTGACTGATTATCTGATTTTCTGACTATCTCACTAATGTGTGTTTCCTGAGGGCAGAGACCATGTCTATTTTTCTCATTATTGATTCCCCAGCATTAGCAGAGTGGCTGCATTTTGCAGTTGCCACAAAACATCTGTTGAATGAATGAAGTATCTAAAGGGGTTACTTTTTTTTTTTTTCCTTTTTATTTGACTCACACAGCAGGTGTCTCTAACCAGTGACTTCTATCTTTCTTTCCATTTATATTGTTCTCCAGCTGTGCTGCATGATCTCCCCCACCCCATTCCACCCTCCGGTGGTCAAGTCTTTGAGGCCTGGCCTAGGACTTGGATTTTGAGGTCTTCATTGATGAGCACTGCAGGCCTGGAAAAACCGCTTGTTGTAGAACTTGCTATTGCACAAGATTTTATTCTCAAGTTAGAGGTCAGGGAGGGTAGGAAGGAAAAGGAAATGAGTTTCCCTCAACGAGTTGGGATACAAAGTTACTCTTTGAAAGCTAAATTATAAATCAAGCCAATGAGAGCAAAGATATACGAAATGCCTCCATAAGGAAAAATAAGGACTCCAGGACCTAGAAGGCCTAACAGTACTCTTACTCAGTTAGGCCTTGCTCTATCTAAGAAAGAAATGTGTCCATCTGAGGAGGGGCAGCCCAGGTAGCATAATAAAGAGAGCCTCAGCGTCAGAGATGGAGTGTCCACCAGCCACCATCCCAAGGAGAAAGGCCAGCCAGGACAGCAGGAAGGAGCGACCAGTCCTCCCATTGGCTGACACCACTAAACATTTCAGTCAGATAATTCACTCTTCTGATTCTGATTTCAAGCTCACCAAGCCACCTTCTGACAATTAGGCTCCAAACTGCACAGTTACAAGAAGAGAGTTCACTCACCAGGCAACCTCAAGAGTCTGGTGTTCCCGACAGTTCTGCTTCCAACAGGAATGGTTAAGCTCCAGGTTTTGGAATCAGACGGCCTTTATTTGAACCCTGACTCTACCCCTTACATACATACTAACTGTGTGACCTTGAGGATTAGCCTTCATCTTTTTTCCCCCAACTGAAAAAAGATTACAAGACACTACGTGATTAGAGGGAGAATTAAATGAAGCAATGTATATAATGCACTTAGCATAGAGCCTAGCAAATAGCTAATGAAATAAATAAGTTGGCATTCTGATTTTATACAACACTGATTTTTAATCAATGCTGAAACATTGAAAAGATTATTTATTTATTTTTTGCTGAGGAAGATTCACCCTGAGCTAACATTTGTGCCAATCTTCCTGTATTTTTTACTATGTGGGCTGCCAGCACAGCATGGCTGCTAACGAAGTGGTGTAGGTCCATGCCCAGGCACCAGGCCCAGGCCGCCAAAGTGGAGCACATGAATTTACCTACTACACCAACTGGCTGGCCCCTGAAAAGATGAAATTTTTCATCCCACAGGTCGAGGACCAAATGCAGACCTTGGGAAACCACCAAGATGATAGACTCCAGGCTAGCCTTCACGTGCTGGCACTTCTCTGCTCACATGTGTGACATCGATAGAAGGTTACCAGGATTTGGCTTTACCTTCTTGTGTCTCTACCTCTCTCTTCCTGACCCTTATCTTCCAGACATACTTTTTATGTAGAAGCAGATTTAGCTCTACTTTGCTCTCATGGAGTCAAGAATTATTGTCCTATAACAAGGAAGAGGCTCCAAGGCTTGCCTTGATTTTTTTTTTTTTTTTTCTTTTTCCTTCATATTACAGACCAAAAGCATCATCTTCTGGAGGGGAAGCATGGGCTGTTGTTTTTCTAAGGTCATCACTGGGCCCACCCCACTTCCCCACCTGCTCTTGAGGGAAATACTGCAAAGACACATAGAAAGCCACAACATGAGTCAGAGATCAAGGCCTCCACTATGCAGGGAGTGTCCCCGAATTACAAACAGGCAAACCAAAGTGACTCTGGCAGATTAAGCAGTTTATCTTGTTTTTCTGTTCCAGTTATCAGACTGCTCTATGACGAAAACGAACAAACCCGTGGCAAATTGGGTTTGGGGTATGGAGCTTTGCCAATGTTTTTCAGGTAGAAATGTTTACAAATTCAGATCTCAGTGGTGGATGCTGGACATAGCTGTAAGACCTTCCATCAAACTTTGTCTCAGTGCTCTACTCTAACAACAACTTTGTCCAGTGGCATAATTATAGAGGCTAACTGTCAGGCTAAGTGTGAAGTGCCTTCCAAAAAACCTGCAGTGTCCCCTCAGTCCTTCCACGTCCAAATTTTGGACGACTAGCCTATTATCACCCAGACCTCCAATTTTATCAGCTGACCATTACAGAATGTCTATCATGCACCCAGAAAAAGAATGACTTGGTCCCTGCCCTCAAAGAACCTACCTAGAGCCTAACAGAAAATACCAAATATTTTGTCCCTTCTATTGTTTCATTTAATTCCTACAACTCTGAGGTAGGTGTGGTTATTATCCCTGTCCTACAGGGGAAGAAACTAAGGCTAACGGAGGAAATATTTGCCGCAAATCACACAGCCAATAGGTAACAGAGCCAGAGCTTGAACCTTGGAATCTCCAAATCCTTGGGTAGTGATGGGCACAATTTGGACCAGGGAGTCCAAACCTTAAGCTTGCTGTTCCAGTTTTTCTTATCAAATGAAGGGTCCCCCATTTCACCGACTTCACTGACTTTCGATTTCTCCGCTGACCCAGGATGAAGGGCCTGGTACTTCATGGTCAGGACCAGGCTGTTAGAAGTGACGGTGCCGCCAGCTGGGCTTGGGAGACAGGCTGACCCTTGTGGTCTGCGAGCGAAACGTGCCCCAGTGCGCTCACCGCCTCCACCCGGGACCCCTCAGAGGCTTGTTCCCCGCAGAGGCTGCCGCGGCCAGCACCGGCCTCCTCCGCCCGGCAACCCACGAAGCGCCGCCAGCAGTCGGGTCCGGGGCCGCCGCCAGCGATGAGGCCCAAGCAGGCGCTGGATGAAGGGCAGATGGGCGAGGCAGGCCCGATGGACCGAGGCGCCGAGGGCCGCGGGGCCGGCCAGACTGCGCTGCGGGCCTC